CGTCGCGGAAAATCAACTTCATGAAGTTCTTGCTGACAAGTTAAACGATAGGAGAACAAACGCAAATCTTTTTTTAACACTGTGTGGCAGGTACCGACTGATACTCCCACCATTTGTGATAAAACACGTACAGAAGTTCTTGGCGCATTTTCCATTATTTGTTGGACATTTTCTTTTAATTTTTTCTTGTGCTTTTTAGGTCGGCCGCTTCCTTCTTTTCTTGTTACACTGCCCGTTTCACGAAAAACATTAACACAACGCTGAACTGCACTTTGAAAAATTTTGTACTGAAACATTCCTCAATAGAATACTTCCATATTCCATCAATCTTGCGTCCATTTCTAAAGTAGGACTCTATAATAAACACTTTATGTTCTTGAGAAAACACCATTTTAAACGCTTTTTAAAAAATATTCAAATTGATAGCGGCGATATAGCGCTTTGACAGATGACGTTTAAGTTTATTTGTTATATGCTACGCCCTACGTCCAAATTTTCAGAACCAACTTGACCACGTTTTTATTTGAACGCTATATTTCAATAAGGTCAACATTTTTATTATAGTATGACATAAAGTATACGAGTATCCACTTAAAAAATCTAACCGTTTTTAGTCTAGTCAATTTATTATTATTATCTTGGATTTAAGTCTTTCACGGCCCGTACTAATATTTAATGGATACGGAAGAGCAATGTACGTTTGTATCTGACGGTGACTATAACAGGGTGTCCTAGAATGACGTGTACAACGGCAGACCACAGATTCGTGGACTCAAAATTGGCAGATTTAAGCAAATTCACCTATATCCGAAATCGCTTCGTTTGGCCGCTTACAATTCCTACAGCTATTTTTTATTTTGGGCCTCTTGTAGAATTTTGTTTAAATGAGCGGTTTGGCTACATAAATTATTTTTTAAATATATAGATTATCTTGTCACTCATATTAGAATAAGTACTTAACAAAGTGCTAGTAGTCACTGATTTTGTAGGTTGACTGTAATTTTAGTTTGATCGTAGTTAGACTTCTCAAAAGAATAAAAATCACATTCGATAAATAGTTACATTTATTAAAGGTACAGTCACACACTATTACTATAAAACTAGGGTTAGACAGTGACAAGGGATTATGGTCTTACACCAGGCTTACCTAACCCGACTAAAGGCAAAGTTAGCGAAACGATAACAAGCAAGCGAATATTATGGTAAGCGGGGTATACCAGGGAAGGGAGGAAGCGATCAAGCTAGGAAAAACATTTGTGAAAAAATAGGCGTAGTGTTAATATCTCTACGTTAATAAAATACAACAATAGTAGCAAAGTTTCTCAGGTCTGGCGTGTGGCTAACAGGGTTGAAGAGAAAACATTACTGCTGCCAACTTATAATAGAACGGAATAAGGGAAACGACATCCCAGCTGAACGCACAGTTAGATCAAGTACACCGAAAAGAAACAACAATATGCCTAACCACGTCGTAGTACTGGTGGATAGCTGAAAAGAAAGGTATGATTAAGACAACGTAGACAGTAGTCAAATTTTTACCTAAACCTTTTACGCACTTCCTCTCCTTGGCAAGTATGTACTGTTGCAACGGGGGAACGCAACTAACTCTAAGGCCGAATCACTTCCATCAGATCTCCGGTCATCTCAGAAGACTTGTGCATTAACTATGCGCGGAAGTGACTTTAGTGGTAGGTAGGACTGCTCGCTGCGACGAGTAAATCGGAACTGCTTTTCAGATTCGGCTCTACTGCCAAGTACCTACCTTCGTTTCGGCGAGCGGTTGCGGCTACTTCTTCACAAGCTGGATTTCTTCTTTAATTCTTTCCAGGTGGCGATCTTCCTGGGACTGCTGACAGGTGGAGATCTTCCTGGGACTGCTGACAGATTGGACTGCTCGCTGTGACCGGCGGCTCTCGACTGACTTTAGGTTCCAACTGCTAGACAGGCTAAGTGCGCCAGCAATTGCGAGCTCACGCCTTGTCGGGTCAATGTAGACGGCGTTAAAGATGTAAATGACAGTGCAGCATTATTCGTTTATTTAAATAAAATAAAAAATAACAACACAGAGTGTCTCATACTAGGCTTAGTCGAGCGCGCAGTTTAACAGGACTGTAGTCAGATTATGAAAGAAACTATTAATATGTTTACAGAAAATTTGTCGCAACATAGTGAGTTTTTACCAAAGAATAAGGCTAAGTAGAGGATAAAATACTTATATAAATTTAAGATAACACATAGAAATAACACCACTTATCCGATAAACCTTAGTGTTGAGACAAGGTTTCCGTAGCATATTGGAAGGAGTTAAAACGTATCACTACGTGCTTTTCTAAGATTTCTGTAGTGAAACGGCCACTTTTATCACTTAATATTAATTGTGTAGGGAAAATGACCGTTCAACTTCTATTGTTGACAACGGACCAATTAAAAAAATTGGCTACTGAACGTCCACAAGCATCAGTAGCTTCGTCTATAATGAAATAAACGAAATTGTAGGAAATGTCTTCGCGTATTGATGCCATTACATTTCTGTAAACCCGACTGACATCTCCTAGTCTTACCGTACTTTCACGAGGAAATTTCGGTTCATTCATTTTTCTAAAAATGTACGGAATTTGGGGTTCTCTGGTTTGCTTGAAAGAAAGGCGTCTGTATACCTAATGGGAATTACAGTCCGTATGATATTTGTTAAGACAGAATTCCAAGAAGACCCCTGAGTCTTCAACCCAAGACGATGGCTCTTCAAATGTCTTGTCACTTTAGTTTCGTCATAAAAATTTATAACGCGTTCACACAAAGAACAAAACAGGTCATTTCCTTTAATGCGTATGTCCCTGTAACCTTCAGGATCACTCTCAAACCACATTTGAAATAATTCGCGTCTATTTCTTCTCCCTTTTGGTATTTTACCTCACTTTTCCCCCCAACTAATAATAATTGTTAATGTAAATAATTATGTTTCTGTTAATAAGTAGTTATTTAAATATACACGGCAAATACAATTTACAGCAGACGTAAAAAAGAAAGGTATCGACGGGACACCAATTAAAAAAAAACATAAAATGCACCACAGAAATGAAACAAGCCCCAAATCCAAAGCCAAGGCTATGCGGAAGAGGGCTACACTTAAAAAAACGCGGACAAACACCCATTATCCATCGACATTGCCAGTGCCGACGCCAGGGATCGAACCCGGACCACAATAGAAAGTCTGACCGAAAAATGCTTGCCACCGCATGCTCGACCGACTACACTACCGTGGTGATATATAACTACTATTAGGTTCCGTAAATAACTGAAACCAAAAGCGCAGTTTAAACGCGAGTCAGCTGTGAAGGCCAACGACCCCCGTGTCGGTTGTTAGACTAACTAAGGATACTCATAACCCTGTGTGAAAATCTTTTCGTAACAGTATATTAATGTATTGGTTTACTTTATTAAAATGTGCTTCCTATTATACATATGTGCTTCCTATTATACATATTAACTATTTTATACGAAAATTAAACGGTAAACTGAAACCTAATTATTGCAGTTAGTGGCTTTATGAAAAAAATCAAGAATCTTGTTGATTTTTTACGTTTTATTTGCTAAAAAAACTACATACGAAATTTTTTAAACAAATAAACAACAAACATTATTTAATACTTGCAGATTAAATTATGTTGGGAAGACCGCACTTGCTGTGGCCTTACACGAAATAATATTTTGCTGCGGACAGGATTAGAACCTGTGCAGCCAATGGATTACAATTCCATCTCCTTAACCACTGGGACACCGCAGCTATTTGTACAAACGAGCCTTAGAAGGTGCATGTCTGTAACGTAATATGATATTTTATTTATATATGTATATTTTATTACAATCGAAACAATGATTCATGAGAGTATTGCAAAAAGTGACTTTGTTGTAAATAAACTCTGACCTGCTATACCAGCAATATCAGAGCTGCCTCAGTTTTCCGTGCGTACACACACTTGTTTACATTTGATTCGCACCAGCGACTTCTATAAAATCCTGGCGGTACATTTCCGAACAGGACACATATCAGCGCCATCTACAAAATCGGTGTAACAGAACTAAAGGACATACAGCAGCGCTATCTACAAAATACGAGCGATAGAACTCCGAACTAACCCTCTGGTACATGTTTACCGTCAGCTCTTCAGATCTACTTCTACAGCGACATCTACAAGATCCAGGCGAGAAACAACTACTTGGAATAATTTTATGACCAGCACAGAATTATATCCTTAATATCAAGTAATTAGCTAGGATCACAATTCAATGCTAATCGGAACATTAGTCTGCAGAGTAGTTGCGTCTCACAGTATCATCAATTTCAAAATTGTTCCATCTATTAGCGATACAGGTCTGGCTTTCATAGTAACTGCAAAATAGTAGATTGTTCTTTGCCAAATTGACTTTTGAAAACCTATGAGTTGAGTAGCAATGGCCGGTAATAGATAGCATTGTTAAATCTCACATGTAAGCTTAAAAATTAAAAAAGTAGGAGACGGAATAGTGAGTCAGTTTCTAAGGAGTAATCTTATGTAAGATATAGAATATGTATGGTATAGCATAAATTAGTGTTCTGATGCCCTAAGTCTGACTTTAAAATATGAATAAGATTTCTCGACTTTTAGTGTTGCAAATAAATGATTTCTGCCATTTCCCTTTAAAGGGGTATGCTCCCTTATTACCCATTTTCCAGAAAAAGTTTACATTACAGAAAGTACCCTAATTTTAATAAATAAAGCCTTGAGTAATTTTTACAAATATAAATATCTTACATAAAAAAATATAGGGTGGACGTAAAAGTAATCCAAAAGTTGTTTTAAAAAACGATTATTAAATTCTAATGCTAAAAATATGCGCACATTTGACTTGCTATAGCAAAAAATATTTAAGGTTTTTAAAATTTTTGCAAAAAATAAATATAATTGAAAATATTATAAATCATTTTTAGAGACTAGCAATGGAAAAACTCATTTTTTAAAATATACTCATAATATTTTTGGTAAAGGATTTAATTATATTAAATCTATAGTTTTTTTTTTCTTACTTTAATTTAAATAACTATGAGGGATTTCTGCGGCGTTTTTTTGGTAAGATTCTATAAATTTCCGGTAAGAGACATAAAGATCTCTGGTAATTTTAAGAAATGGAAGGAAATCTTTGTTTGCCAGATTGTGCATTTATCGCAAAATTTTTTTTGTTTGGAAACTCTTTAGAATCATTTATACACTAAAATATGAATTGAAACTATATTATTCGAAAATTTAAATAATCATGAGATTATGAGTTTCGACTAAGTTCAGAATCAATTTTTGTTTTTCACTTAACATTATTTATTAACTAATTTCTAGGATTTCTAATTACAATTATTGCAACGCCCGGAAATTTGTTATTATTATTTAGATATCCTTATATATTAAAAGCTGTAGGTTACATAATATTGCGCAGAAATGCAACGAATCTTCTCACCTATTCCTGTCATCCGTCAAGTCACGGACATCGAGGCGGCTATCGTGAACCTTGACATGGATTTCTACACCGCCGAAAAGGAGAATAGCAAACTAAGCAGGTGGGTTACCTGTTATGTTGCAGGATCTAATAAGGGAAAGACATACGGCGAAAAGAAGAGTCACGGGGACAGCACACCCCGAGATAAGCAGACGTTAAATCAGTTGAACCGGAAGGTAAAAGCGGCCCTAGAGGAGCATTACCAGGACTTGTGGAAGCGACACATGGAGTTACTGAACCACGAAGGTCGCAGCTTGTGGACGATGCAACGGACGCTGAGGACCACCCGGAAGCCAACGCCTCCGATTCACGGAGAAAATGAGATCGTCTATACCAGGTATGAAAAAGCCGAGCCATTCGCCGACGGCCTTGAATTACAGTGTAGGGTAAACCTTCTCGAAGACGAAGAAGACCACGCCGACGAGGTGGAACGACGCGTACGGTGCTACCGACGCCATCTCGACAGAAACGATATCAGGCCGGCGACATTCGAAGAGAAATATCCTGCGGCGTCTCAACCCCCGCAAGGCACCCAGATGTGACCAGATCGGAAGTGAACATCAACATCATTAACGCCATTCTGAGGTTGCGAGGATTCCCCGCCAGATGGAAGCGAGGTAATAATCTAATATTTCCTGCAATCAGTCTCCTGCTGATGATGAGCAAGGTAGCAGAGAAGATCATCCTGACCAGACTGTGTGAGAGTTCAGACGAATATCTTGGAGTAAATCTGCGACGCGGCTAAAATTGATGGATAGGCCACTTAGAAATGGTTTAGAGGTATTACGGGTGGCCTGTACGCCTATGTTTATTTATTTATTTATTTATTTATTTAATAATAATATCCAACGAGCAATGCCCAGCTACAGGATAAGGTTACAAACTAAAAAAAAAGTAATAAAAATAGGTGAAAGAGATACAAAATATTCTTAACCAAAATAAATATCACAAAACATAATATCTAAAACAAACAGGGAACAGACATATAATATTAAAATGCTATAATACAATACAAACAAATGCAAAAATATATTTATACAAACATAAAGTTCAAATGAAAACTTTTTTAATTTGAGAAATACTGGAGCAGAGTATATCAATGCGAGATTCAATATTAGAATAACCAACAATCATTTGGTGAATTGGAGACGCTTTATATAAATTAGTACGATGATTCTTGATCGCGAAGAGGTGTAAATGTCGGGTATACGTTCTAGGAATATGAAAATTTATCATTTGTAATATATCTTCACATATAATGTTATTATTCAAAATCTTGTATAAGAAAATAACAGAATTTAACTTGCGTCTTTGAGACAAGCTACTCATATTGAAACGCTTGAAAAATGCTTCCTGAGGAAACCCTTGAGGAGGATACTGGCCATCAATAAAAAATGTAGCTGATTTAAAGAATCGGCGTTGAATTTTCTCAATAGATATTATGTGTGTAGCGTAGATAGGTGTCCAGACTACAGAGGCATACTCAAGTTTAGATCTAACAAATGTATTAAATAACAAACAAAAAGTATCAATTTTCATGAAATTGCACATGTTCCGAACAATAAAACCCAAACTTTTGTAGGCATTCATTACCACAATTTCAATATGCTTGACAAAAGATAATTTAGGGTCAAAATATACGCCCAAATCTTTAACAAGGTCAGGTCGTTGAAGGGCAAACCCATTCAGACTATACTCATACTGAATTTGATCGCATCGTCGACTAAAAGTCATGACATTACATTTGGTAGAATTCAGAGGCAGCCTATTAGCAATGCACCAAGAGTTAATAAAATCTAGATTACGTTGAAGATTGATGGCATCAAATACATTATCAATT